TTGGGGGAGAAAGAGAAAGATAGCAAAGATATTACTTCCGCTCTAGCTCGCGATGATGCACTTACATGTCTTTCGGAATTTAATATGTATCGCGCATTAAAATCGGAATGAAAAGAAGCAATTTCTACGCCTGATATTTCAGGCATTGGTTCTAACGAAAGAAATTAAGACGGGCGGAAACCTTGGAGCGTGGTTGTTGTTTGTCCGCTTCTACGTGTATTGTTTATGATCAAATGGAATAAGCAGCTTTGATCGGATTAACGGTGGCTTATGCTAGCGGATTGTCATTTGGAGGATAAATATCAAGTCGTATTTGCGCCAGCAGAGAACGTTTTGGCTAAGCCATTTTTTCCCTGATGAAAAAAAAAACAGCCACACCGTTTTACCAGAGTATGCCAGTTTGCATCAAACAAATTGTGGCGGGTAAACCTTCGAGTGCAGTTGTTTGTTGCTCCAAAGTATCGTGTACGATCAAATAAAAGAAAAGAGAAAATTGTGAAATAGATCAACGTCAGCGATACTCAAGGATTTTCATTTGAAAAATATAGAGTGCAGCAAATATCGGCTCATATTTGTGACCGCGGAGGAGGTTTTGCCGAAGCCATTTCTTTCTAGCGGAAAGAAAAAAACTGCCTCACCGTTTTAGTGGGAAAACAGAGCTTCCGGTTTTTAATTTAACTCATTTTTATTGGTTACCTGCCTATTTCCGGAAATGCAGTGAAGCGCAAATAATCAGGGGGTGTATCTCAATGAAGTTAAATGAAATGTTAATGGACGTATTTTTTTGTTCCCATGGGCCCTTTGAAACGTCTTTTTACGAAATTACTGGAGGCCGTTAAGAGAAGAAAAGGAGAACGGCCCCATTAATTTCGTAAAATGACGCTTCAAACGGCCCATGAACGCGAAAAAAATACCACAAATACGTCGATCAACATTTCTTTTAACTTGATTGAGATATTCAGATCGAGATGGTCACCGAAATAGTTAAGATATGCAAATTTCAGAGCTCTTTTCATAACCCTCATAGATTTTGTTCGTCTCATGTCAACATTTTATCATCACGAACTCATAGTGTGGTCTAACTGTGGCATTTCGCAGCTCTTGTGAACAGAGGTATGAACTGACCTGGTCTAAAACCTACTTCCATCGTTGCTTCTTTGAACACTTTCATGCTCAGTTTGTTTTCACCTGTTCACGCTCATTACGTTTTTTAATCTGACAACATATTGTGAATTTCGTACCGCCCACAAACGCTGATGGAAGCGACAATTAGTGACAGTTTGTTTTTATCACATCGTTTTGGAAAGCCTCCTTCTCCACTTTCCAGCGTCTTGTTGTGGATTCTAGGTAAAAACGAAAGATAAAAAGGCGAAAAAAGTGTGTTTTAAAACGAAAGCTTTAGCGCTCAGAAGGCCCCTAGTTTTGTTATCTAGACACAGTTGGAGTCCTAGAGACTTGAAAGACTGGCGCAGGATTTTCTATTTGAGTCAATATCTTTGCACACAAGATTTTCGATGTCTAGAGAGAATGTCTAATTTGTCCATCCTTTTCTTTTATTCAACGGTCTGAGAAATGGTTAAAATATATCAAAGTGCATTTCATGTTTTGCACGTTTATGTTTCTCAGCAGCCTCCCACACGCAGCTTCAATTTTGATGAGCTCTCCTCCCTTTCCTTGCTCAAACTCTAATAATTGTTTTCTAGTTTGTTTTTAACCAAAGAAATTCTTACTGTGCACTGTTTCTGATATGCTGAGTACCAGTTCGAAAGAACAATCAGAATTAGCTTTTTAACCTGCAGAGCAGGTGTAGTTTTGGCAAACAATTGCACAGTAATCTCTTTGTGAGCATTATAGCTGCTATCTTTTATTTTAACAGCAGCTGAAGGCTGGGGAGAGAAATAAATTTGTACTAAGAGGTGGGTGATAGTCAAAGAGAAGGAATGGGGAAGGTGTGGGGCAAAGAATATTACATATTTGACCAGTCTTAAACAAGCTGCCTTAAGGGATGCTAATTAGAACATTTACAGTCTACCAAATGGTATATGAAGACAGTATTTTTATTCCTGAGTTATATTCTATCCTGGGGTAAGGAAAAAGGCAGAAAAAGGAACTGAGAGAATTATGAAGAGACGAAGAAAAAGAACACATATACATACATTCTACAACCTTTACTCATACATGATGAAAATCAAAGCTTCAAGCTTGTGGGGTTGTATAAAAACGAAAAAACTGATGGAAACTGTTAAATATTCACAAATAAAAAGCTAAGTTCAAGGATCGTTTATGAATCATATCCTAACTTAGTAGTATTAAAAATTCTTAAGTCTGTGGGTCACTGTTTGATGGGTTTGAAAAACATAAGCAAAAACCCTCAAAGTATACCACCTTGTCCTGTTTTTCACAAGAGAACTGACATCTCTGCAGTCTAAACAAACCACAAGGGAATGGTAAGGGCCACAAGAGAGGATGGAAAGAGTGGGCACTGATGTTAGATGGATAAGAAATCAGGGTCTCGAGGAACCCTCAACAACCAAAAAGTTTGTCCGCAACTCTGAATGAGAGGGGGGGAGGGTGGTTTAACCTGGAATGAGGTCTTACATGATTCAGCATAATACTACCACGAGATACAAGGAAAATGGACCAAAAGAATCTGGCCATTTATCAGCTGCCACTTTCAAACAAATGAAGAGCTATGTGGATGATAAATGCTGTTCACTATACCAGACCAATGGTTTGTCAAATAGTTACACATAGATTTGTCAATTAGTTTTACATGACACCCCAAGAAGACTACAGCATCCTCCTTCCTCCTAAAAGGCTGTTAGGCAGGGGAGGTAAACATTGTTGGGGTATAGCTTTCATCTCTATGGTCTGAAATGGGTTAAAAATTTTAAGATCTTGTTCCCTGTGGAACCACAGTCTTGAGTTAGATTGAGTCACTTATGTCTCTTAAAAACAGTGTAAAAAATGACAGTGTGATAAAACAAATACCCTCATCAAAAATCAGCTTTTCATTTTGACCAGAAGAAACCTCTGTTCTTATTACATTTGGTGCTGTGTTATATTTGGCATGAAAAAAAAAATCATAATTTTCATGTTATTGGTATTAAAAGTAACTTTGTGACTCAGAACAACTGGCCTCTTAGAATTCTCACCTGGAAAATAATAACTTTTTCACAGTTGCGAGAAATTATGCTCAAGAAAAATTGTTAGGGTTCCACATTTCAAGATGATTTTCATTATATCCCATTATTGAAGTCCAACATATTTCAAGGAGCTGTGGTAAAATGACAGTCCATCACAGCTATTCCCAACATCATATTCATTTACCACTAGAGTGAAAAGATCAACTCCCAATATCTGATAATTGTTAATTCTCTCCTCTGGCAGCAACAGATTTTCATATAAATTAGTTATGAGAATTTGGTGCTAGATAACTTCTACCTGATAAGTTACTTGTTTACTGGATAATGAACAGATATTATGGGGAGAAGTTACAAGTTAATCACTTCTGGGAGTTATGGTATTAAGAATTATTGAAACTACAAGAGGCATTTGTTATCAATTTTAAACTTTCGATTTAAAGGTAGATAAAGTCAAATTTAACAGTCAAACTCAGGAAACAATAAACATCAAGAATACGTGTGTCCATGAAGAAACCAATTAGATGTGAATAACCAAAACTTTAAGTCTATAACTCCTATGAGTGACTCACACAGAATTTCTCCTTACAATATCAATACAATATCAAGTATACAAGTGACAAGAATAAAAAAAAACATATCAGTTAAGGGATTACTAGTTGATCCAACATCAAATTCTCCAAAAACATTGTAAGAATTTTATGGCAGACAGTAGGGAGAATTACTAATAAAATCTTGGGAGTGGAAGAGTTGAGCAAATAATGTAGTTATTTTGTAATTTCTACATTTTTGCTGTTTCCCAATGTGATTGGTCACAACAAATAATGTTCCTAAAAATATTTAGAGTTCACTGTTCTCTGCATTGTACAAAAAGAGTTAATATTAAAACAAAAATAAATAAAATAATAGCATTTCATTGATGTTTATTTCAGTAGGAACATTTCACAAATTATTTCAACTGGAATCTTCCAAACTTACTGCCATTAATTTACTTTTTACATGGCTGTTAGCCTGACATTTTACTTACAAAACAGACAGACTTTCACTGAATACAAGATCCAAAACAAAAAAAGAAAAAAAATTAGAACAGTAAAAAATTCAAAATATCTGCCTCATCTTAGCCACAACTTCAGTCTCAGTGCATCAACACCATTAAGATAATACCTAAACAACCTTTTGTCACGGACAAATCCCAGGTTCTCATAGAGTCGCAGAGCTGCTGTGTTGGTTACCTCTGTCTCAAGTACAACCTGAAGTAAATCAACATGTGAGCCAAATAAGGAATAGCACATGGGAATGTGTACATATGGAATTTTCCTTTGAGTTTTCAACATGATATCTCACAAGTTGAACACAAGAGGATAGATTCCACATCTACTATCAACCACATGGGAGGGGGGGTGTGGGCATTATTTTGTTTAATTTCATAATCACCAAAGGTCTTTCCTAAGAAGAAAAGTAGACTTCATTAATGAATGAAGCTGGGTGAACACTTTGCTATTCATTCACCACCCTGACAGAGTGGCACAAAAGGTGAGTGGCATGTCAGCAGCTGATTGGTGATATCACACAAGTAAAAAATTATCATAATTATAGCACATAAGTTTTAGTGAAGTCTCATAGGAAAAATACCAAAGAGATTCTGGTAAAGGTGAATAAGAAAGGGCTAAGTTTAACCCTGTAAGCCCTAACATCAGTGTGCATATTCTCCATACTGTTCTCTATAAATTTCCTAAGTTGCTGAAAGGGAGACTTTGTTTAACCAAGAGTTGGTGATCGTTTAGTCTGTTCTTGTGACCCTAAGTGTTTGATTCAGAGGTTATATTGTATGGAGATATTAGAAGCTAATCACTCTGCAGGGTCTAGGGGTTAAGTAAAGAAACCCAACAGGGTCAGGCAAGCATTTGTGATTGGTGCATCCAAACTTAGTTTAAATTTGTATCAGATTGGTCTGAAATGGGGTGATGATTCAGAATAATTTTAACCAATCATAGCATGTAATGCAGCCAAACCAATTGGAAGCATTTCAGATGTCACTTACATTTGGCACTAAGTCAACTTTCACAATAGTAGCTCAGTCTTTCAACTAACATACACAATTTTGAAAGGTTGGCCATGAGAGAAAGAGATGATTAGGAAGAAGTAAAGCAAAAAGCCAGTGTTTTGTTTACCAAAGCAATGAAATACAAGAACTCTGGCTATTATTTATGAGAAGATTTCTTAATGGTGAATGCCCTGTCTATGTCTTCCACCCTTTCCTGCTAGAGATCTTTGAAATTTCATAAAATTATCAAACAAAGATAGTTGAAGACTTAAGAAGAAATTAGAGTGCGATTCTTACTTCATCACAGCTATCTTCTTGCATTGCCTTGATTGCTCTTACCACAAGATTTGAACCTGAAATAATGGAAAGGCAGATAAAATATCCACTCCTACAAAACTGCTTTACTCTAATTAGAGTACAACTGAGTATAATTTTATTATCAAGCCAATGACATATTCAGAACTGATAGTTCCATGCAATATGAAAATTAGCAGGTCTGAATTCTTTTGTTAAGGGAGATGGTGGGTGGGTGTGAGTGGGGGTGGGGTTCCAAAGAAACTGTGGTGCTGTGCTGGTAGATAGGTGGGTAGGGGTATTACTAAATAATTTGGTTTCATCAGCTGCATTGATAATGTAAATTGGTCACTGTAAAAAGCCGAAGACAAAGGGCTGACACTTGAACTGTCAGCTTTGAAAACTCTTTACCATGGCTTATTTACATTGTTAACTCTGTTGATAAAATTAAATTATCTCTTAATTATTGTACTTTGGTACAAGCACAAAAGTAGGTTCCCACAGACAAAAATCCACACAAAAAATAATAAATACACTATAAATGCAGTAAGGGTTTTTCTACCTTCAGTCCAATAAAACAATCCACATGCAGGTAAAGTGAACATTAAAATTAAAAACAGTTTTACCATCCTTTCACAATACAAGAGAGTGGATATATTTTAATGTTTACAGGTATCTAAAACATTACCCAAAGACACATCATTGGCACATCTCAGATGATGCTCTTCTGCTTGGGGTACTAGTAAATTGTCAACAAGTAGTTTTTTTGACATTTTTTCCAAGCTTTACCTCTGAGAAACCATCAAAGTGGCTGAAAGGGAAGTTTACAAAAAAGCTTACCTATTTTCTGCCGTCTATATTCCTTCTCAACAGCTAACATAGCAATGTACCCTCTTCGTACCATGTTCTTGTGCATGTCAAGCTTGCACACAATGGCACCAACGCAGTTGTCACCGTCCATTGCCTGCAACAAAAGATACATACAAAAAAATTGCAACTTCTATTTATAAAATGACTAATCAGAAAATGGAATCTTGTATATGGCAGAAAGACTAGTCATTGAAGCGAACTATGCAAAGTATAATAACCAGTCAGTTACATTAAAATCTATTGGAGCTGATGCCTTTCAGTACAAAAGTCTCAAAATGATGTGTCAACTGCACGCTACTAACATTATACAAAATGAACACTGGTGCAAACTTTTTAAAAATCAAATTACACAGATAGCATTATCCAAAAAGAATAATGGATCCAAAAATATTTATGTTAGACTCGATGCATGTGGTTAATTTAACTTTTTCAGAACAAAATTATCACAGTAATATGTTAGAAAGTGTATTGTCTAAAAATAAGAGTTTCACACAGTTAATATTTTGTAGTAAGCAATAATCCAAGGTAGGATGGTCTTGAAACTTTTTTCCATATAAAAAGTTATAAATAACTAGACATCAATTTATGTGAATAATGAAGGTTTTACAACAACATGACACCCAGCAGCATGGAGTGCTTATATACTCTTGAGATTGTTAGTCTGAAATAGTCAAGAGAAATTCCATGCCATTTTATCATTTTTTTCTCTATTAAATTATTGACGAACCAGGTTTACAGAATAAATTGGCAAGACATAAGCCCTGATGTGGACCTGTACTGACTACAAAACAGTCCATCACTGTAGTATTAAATTATGGATAAATAAATAGAGCAATTTTCAATTGAGTGTTGAAAGTAATCAGGGATTGCATTTGTTTTCATTTACTCTGCTCTGTAATTGGTACAAGAAACTTGCACAACTCTCTCAATCAATCTGATGCAATACTAAAACCAATCACTACTAGTGTCCTGCCTTTTCTCAGGTGTTAGGCAGTTTGGTTGTTTTTTTATACTGAGTTTTCATTGGTTCTTAGAGGTATTTTCCTCTGATCCAATCAGCTTTTGCAATTACTTTGGTTTCTGATATTGACACTCAGTTGAAGAGTAATCTTCTCATTAATGGCAACAATAATAAAAAGGATAACTATAAAGAGAAGTTGCCAAATGAAAAAGTCGAAAGTTTTGAAATCTGGAGATTTCTCAGAGGGAGCTTTCCACACTTGGCACTTATTGGGGTAATGCAGATCATCAAGTGTAATAATAACAAATTATGATAAAAAAGCAAATACTGTTGTACAAAATAAGGTAAGATTTTGGCATCTAAAGCTTGGCTTAACAAACCTTGTCCTAACATTCACTTAAAAATGAAAACAATCTTGTTGTCAGAAAGAAGCTGAATGTAAACTGATACACTTTTCCATGATTGGTTTTTACTTAAATTCCTTTTCAGAACATGCAGAGTGATTTGAAGCCATTTTTCTGGTTATTCCATATTTCTCTCAAAAAGCAAAGTGTATGTGGATGTTCAACTAACTGTAAAAATATTAATTTTTTTCGTATCAAGCCACTATAAACTGAACTGTTTTAAGTATGACCAAACTCATGCTTAAAACTTTATTACTTATGCTCTCAAAGGATTATTTCAATCAACTTTTGATACCTTTAAGCTCTCACACATTCAGAATAATATGATGGGGCCTCTTTGAGAACTGTTCACATATGGATTGCAAAATAGATCAAGAATTCCTACACCATAACTTCTTAGGGATCATTTGTCTAAAGGTAACACAGGAAGGTTGAGGGTGCATCCCTAGGGGAAAGTATCCCCTTGGGGGAAGTATTCCCCCTGGGCACAAATGGTTGATATCCAGATTTATCGAGATATGGTTAAAATTTCTTCAATTAGTACAACCTTCTCACGGACAGCTAGCTTTCAAAATTTGATTTTCCATGTCTATTATAGAGCCTCGCCAGAAAAAAGAATTTGTATAGTATCTATTTAAAAGTGATGTAGCCTACTCAACTTACCAAAAAACAGAGGTTTGGCCAGTTATGTATGAAATAACGATATGTGTAGATTGAATACGGCTCCGAAAGGTCCTTTGTTATAAGAGCCATAATTGCCTCCATTTGAAGTTCAGACTCGTAACTAACATAAGTTAAATTTGTACTTTTTTCACAAGGATCTCCAGGTCCGGCATGTTCCGCGGAGTTCTTCTTCTCTGAAGTTGACGGGTCATATCCTATCGGATCACTATGACCAGAGGTTACATGATTTTCATTCGTTGATGTACTTGGGCATGATTGAGTGTGGATCATTAGGCCGTTGAGATCTGTAAATTTCTTTGCACTGCATAATTTCTGCGGCTGTTCAGGATTGTTAATTTCCTCTTTCCCATGTAGAGACGTCGAACACTCGCCGTTGAGAATGACGTCTCTATCTCCTTCCTTCTTACTCTCTGCAGCTGTGGACTCCATTGGGAGGAACTGAGGTAAAAATCAACTGTTAAAATTAGATGGAATACAGCTTTCCACCATAAACGTAAGCTTTTATTGGGAAATGTCACCACAGTGGGAAACGTGACCATTCGAGGGCAAGTTCCTCCAGAAGGAAAACCGCCGCCATATTGAACTGTCTCGTTTTGCAAAGACTGGTGGGAAATTGAAATTACCTAGAACCAGGCCTACTCGGACGTGTTTCGAAACACAACATGGCGGGCAGCGAAGACGGAGGACCCTCGGACGAAAATAGTGAATGGTCTGATTTTAGTCGCAACAACTCCGCGATTGACACTTTTGACAATGTCCACTTTGGAGCTAAATCTCAGGACCATACCAGTGTCATTAATACCCTTTTCACGTGTTTTCCCTTGCCATCAGATTTCCAGTCAGCTGACTTTTTTAACGGAGCGCCTTGCGCCAACGAAAGGTTTTCAAACATTACACCAAATTTTCAATAGATTTTCATTGTGCTTGGTGAAATTCTTAATTATCTTTGCGTCTTTTCGTTAGCAGAATTCTCGACCATGTAGATCCTGCATTGAAAACTTATGGCGAACCTTTGGTTTGGCGGGGATGTGAAACAGAACTGAAATTCTCCAAGGCGTTACATCTTCTACCGTGTGATGACAGAGTAAGAACATTTGTTTGAAATTTTTATTTGTTCATTTTGATTTTACTACTGCTTTTAAATTGCTTTATGATTGGCTTATTTAGATGTTTTTCTCTCTGTCTTTGATGATACATTTTAGAGTACTATGTTATGGTTATTCACTTTGGAACTCCAACAGAGCTGTTTTTTATACTGGAGATTGCACAAACGAACGTAATTGACCCCACACTGAATTGAATTCTCCTTTAGAATATTTAATTCTTAGTGAAAGTAGACTTGAATCACTCCTTGTTGTCACTGTAAAGCTGTCACTGATTTAAAATCAAGCAGTTATAACTACAACAAACAAGAATCTTACAAAATTATTGAAGCAGAAAATCCCCAGATTACCCTCTCTTTTCAATGATTTAGTCTAGAGTGGTTTTTCAACTCTCACATTGACACCTAATAATTTGTCAGCAATCAAATAAGTTGACTGTGGCTAAGAAATTTGAACATTTAAACATTTCTATAGATGCAAAAAAATTAGTTAGGGCATAGGAATTGCCTCAAGCAACCCTCACCTCTCCACCCACAGATGGCCCTCACATCACTCCCCTTTGTCCTGTTATATTTGTGTTATATTCCTTATTAAATACTATGGTGTGGTGGTTCAAGTCATTTGATTGTGACCTTGGACAGGAAACTTTTCTCCCACAGTAACTCTCCCCACTGAGGAGTGTATATGGGTACCAAAAAACTGTCAGGAAATTCTTGGGAGGTGGGGTTGGGGGCTCAGTGGATTGGGGACTCAATTTAGAAAAGAGTGGCAGTACTTTGAGTCACTTTAAACTCCATAAACTGAGGTAAGCTGCAACCCCAGAATAGGCTTTCTGGTCTCAAAAGCTCACTTTATCCTTAATATTCTGAAAGTAAACCCTTAAATTCCCAAGATATGATTGTCAATTCTCCCTTCTAGCTACTATATATTTCCTTGTGAATCAGTTTTGAGAATTTGGTGTTAGATCAGGAAAACTTAAACCTAGTAAGTTTGAGTATTCTCAATACCTATTTGTTGAATGATTAACAAATAGATTCCAAGTTGCCATGCATCTGTTCAGTAATAGATCACAGATGACGTCAAAATGTGGTAGGAACAAAAAAGTGGCACATGAGGCGGTGCCTCGTGTGCCACTTTTTTGTTCCTACCACATTTTGACGTCATCTGTGATCAATTACTGAACAGACGCACGGCAACTTGGAATCTATTTGTTTTATATAATAAAGAATTTAAAAAAGTTTTAATGATGACGTCATCTATACGTCTGTCCTCCAATAGATCATAAGTGAAAACCAATCAAAACGTGTGTATAGAAATATTATATGGATATTATATGGGAAGAAGTTACATGTTAACCCTTTAACCCCTAAGAGTGACTAGCATCTAATTTCTCCTTACAATATCACCCCTAAATCATACATTAAGGTCAAGAGAATCAAGGAAATCATCACCAACCAATAGAAGCTCTTGATTGTTAAACAAATTCTCCTTGTCAGCACCTTAAGGAATGTATAAAGACCAGTATGGGGAATATGGATACTTATGTTCGAATGTAAAGGGTTAATCACTTCTAAGAGTGAAAGGATTAAAATAAACACAATTTTTACGCTCAAAGGGTGCAACTAGCATTTAATCAGGTATATAAACTTATACCTGATTTTAGGTAAGCTATTTATTTACCTGAAGTTAACATTGGTTTTTTTTCTCTTTTAGAACCATCTTCTACCTGGGCATCTTGAGGAGGACTCAAACTCTGTCCCAACAAGAACTTTTGACTTTCATAAATTTGCTGAGAAGTTCAACTCACAATTGTCTTGTCAGACATTAAATAGTGGTTCCAATGATCTTAAAGAGGATCGTGTTTTATCAAATCAATCTGATCGACTCTCTAACAGTGATGATTCTAATAGTGAAAACGAGGATGAAATTTTCTTGGTCTTCAGAGGGAAGCCCAATAATCGGCAGTCAACTTTTGATGAGGGTCAGGCTGCAGCAGGTAAAGAAACAGACATGATAGAATGATCATCACATATGATTATAATGTATCAATCAATTAGAAGCCTTAAACTATACCCCTCATCTCCCACAGGGAACCCCCTCTAAGCATTTTAACTTTTGACGATTGGTTCATTCAAGTTCCTGTCCCTGGTGTCAAAATAGTGTTCGAATGCCCTATGTAGGTGTCGGATTTGATGATCAACTTTTTTTTGAGAAGGAAAAGCTAGCAACTGTAACTTTCTTGTAGACCTTTCCAATTTCAATTTCAATTTTTCAATTTTATTTCAATTTGATTTTTCCTTTGGAGTATATGCTCGTGATAGTGAACTCCATATTAACAGATAAAACACTTGTTGTGCTAGAAAGAATCGCAAGTTCTGGTTCAAATTCCCTATGCCATCCAGACAAAATTCAAATTACCCATGGGTGGAGATGGGTAGATGTTGAAGCTTCAAATTGATTTGTGCATAAAGAGATATCACTGATTACCTTGAACAAGTAATTACAGACCAAAATCTGGCTGGTGATCCCTTATTTCTCAGCTTGCAAATTTTGCTAGCAACCAGCACCGATTCCCTTATCAATTCAAAGCTTCAACATCCCCCCTTCACAAAATTATTCAAAAATTAAAGCAACAGCTTAATAATAGATGCATTTTTTTTTCAGGGCTTTCTGAACTTTCAAATGGAGAACTTTTAGACTTAAAACAAGAGATGGCAGCTTATGTCAAGGAGTACTCTGATATACTTGTGGAAGAACTAACATTAAGAGAAGAATTAGATAGGGAAAAGGAAATAAAAAACAATTTCATATCAACATTATTAGCTGTTCAGTCCAAAATAAGAGAATCACAGACTGGTCAAGGAAAAGGAAAGAAGGGCTCTTCTGCGTATTCAGGGAAAGTAAGTGAGAGTTGATCAAAAGAGCAATATTATTGTTTGTCTCAGGATGTAGTCACTTTGGACGTGGATCACAACATTTCGAATTCATACTGCAAATCTTCTTTAGGTGATGAATTTGATTTCTTACGTGTCACTGATATGCTGTTCTACTCAGCTGTGATTGGATGGAATTCCATGCCTGTGATTGGTGCAAAGGGCAATTCACATAAGACTTCACCCTAACAACATTGACAGGAACAGTGGAATACAAATCCCAGAAGCCTGAATGCTGACAATCAAGAAACACAACAGCAGGAGAGTCACATGGCAGGTGTCCACAGAGGGAACCTGATCCAAAAAATTGCACCAATCACAGTTGTGAAATGTCATCCAATAACTGCTGAGCATGACGGCATCAAGGTAATGTGTACTCAATAGACCTCATTGCCTGAAGAAGACTGGCAGTGTACAGTTGAAACATTGCGAACCACATCTAAAGGTGATGACATCGTGAGACAAATGAATATATTTCTCTTTTGAAAGTGTTATTTATCACATAGACAGACCACAACCTATTTTACGACATAAATTAATTGTTGTCTAGATCAAGACAGGGTTCTCAATAAGTCATGGCATAGATGTGTAGCTGCATGGAGTAGATGGCTGACAATATGAGAGCTCTTTTATGAGAGCCTGGGTATGCTCTGCCACAAGATATTATTTTTAAGATACAGAGGCCTATGAAATGCCATCTTATGCATTCTATTGGAGGTGTATGCAAAGCAATATAGTGGTTGGTTGGCTTGGTAAACTTGTGCCTGGTATTTTCAGAGGTTGGAAGAGTGTTCAACTTCCGCACCAACGAAATGGTGAGTGGAGTAAATACCAACTCAAAAGGTGGCAAGTAAGCTAAGCTAATTGAGCAAATGTCCTTCCTATCAGTGCATTGGTGAAATCACTGCACTGACTTGGTTTTAACTGTGCATAAATTACATTTACATTCAGTCTTAACTATCTGTATCCTTCAGTATTTAACTACAGTGATTCCTTATGATGATTGTGATGGAGGTCCAAGCAATAAAGTACTACTGCAACTGATTGAGAGTAAGTCCTCATACTAAAATACTGCCATTGTGACTATTGTAGTTGTCTCTCATAAACTAATGTTTTTCTAGAATACCAGACTCACACTAGGTAACTATTCCAGGTTTTGCCTTCACCATAAAACCCTTAAGAGCGACTGGCTTCTAATTTCTCATTACGGGGAGTTATTAAATGTGCATTCAAGTTTGGTGTAAATGTGTGCTATTTAGCTACATGTGTTAGGAGTGAATTGGTTGAGATTTTTAACATTCTTTAGCCAAATGCTTAACCCTTTAACTCCCAGAAGTGATTGACATGTAACTTCTCCCTATAAAATCCATTCATCATCTAACAAAGAGGTAACAAGAATACTTAAACTTATCAGGTAGAGGTTGTTTTCTTGATTTAACGCCAAATTCTTGTAATTATTTAAAAGGAAATGTGTAGCAGCTAGAGGGGAGAATTAACAATCAGATATTGGGAGTGAAAGGGTTAACAACCATAGTATGCAAGTTAGTGCCAGTTCATATTTTTTATGGAGGGACTGACCTATTTAGGCCCCAGCAAATTAGAACTACATCATTTGTTCTATAAAAGGCTGAAGACAACTCAGGTAGCAGCCAATTTTAACTGATAGGTGAAAAGGATAATTTCTGTCAGGTTGCCAAAAGGTTTCTTCAAACCTTACAGGTAAGGAATCAGAAGGGGGAGAAGCTTTTTCTCATCTTCAGAAAGCTTTCTTTAAGCAGCATCATGATCGTTATATTAATAGTAACAATGATAATGTTCCCTGAAGAAAGCTTTTTGGCTTTTGTGAAGACTCTTGCTGCTTCACATTTCCTTGTAAATTAGTTACAAGAGTTTGATGTTAGAACAAGATAACAATTTCTACCTGATAAGTTGAATATTCTCACTACCTGTTTGCTGCATAATGTTTGGATATTACAGATGGGAAGAATTACATGTTAATCAATTCTCAGAGTGTAAGGGTTTGGATAATCTTAGTATTGTTTGAATTGATAATGATCAAGATATCATCTTTCAGTTATGGAGGCCCTCATTGCTGACAGCCCAACAGTTCCTGGTTTGTTAACTGAATATATATTGAAAGGTATCACTAAGTGTGAAAAGACATTTTAACTGACGTTGTGTGTCTAGGCTAATCCCAAAAAAGTTTTGCATTACTGGTGGACCATTAAGTGATGTGTGAAAATTTAAATTCTCATGTGCTTACTTGGGTTTGGAGATGAGTTAAAATGCGTTCATTTTCCACATTACACCTTTACCCCTCAGAGTGAGAGATTTACTAATCTGTCCTTGTAGGACCAAATTTGAATACAATTTTTACCAAATAGAAAGGTGATGAGAAGAAAAAAAATACCATGCAGAGGATCTTGTTTGATTCAATGCCAAATTCTCTACACTCAAACTGTAAAAAAATGCGTGATGCTCAAAAAAGGGGTTATTGGGTTGTTGGGAGTATAAGCCAGAGGATAAACTTTTCCTTTTCCAGCTGTTTTTTTTTCTAAATCTGGCTGTAATATTCCTTTGGATTAATGATCATGAGAATCAAGGAATGATCACCAATTAAAGAGGCTCTTGATTGTCAAACAAATTCTTCTTGTCAGCACTCAGGAAATGTATAAAGAACAGTATGAAGACAATGCATACTAATATTAGGGTGTAATGGGTAAATTATTGAGGTTGATTGTAAAATTGTTTTGTCCCATTAGTGCTGTGTGCTGAAGACTAGTCTTTGCTGCTCCTCAGACTTCAAATGTGAGTGTTCTCAAGATGTCTTAATTGGGTTTTCCTGTTTCATAGATTAGATTACAGATTGTCAGTTCACCAATTTTAGAAGTCATTTTTTTTATAATTGATGTAGTTTTTTATGATACTATTTTTATCTTCTGATCACCAATTGATATCAGCAATCTTTCAGACTTGCTGATTTGTTTCTGTTTTTAAGTTTTATGGTATATTGTATTAATTTATAAGTTTATATACATGAAATAATCAGTGTAATCTTTCTTCACATAGTTTCAGAGATGTAAGCTGCATGACACTAGTAACCATGATCCCACATATTGTGCTTTATTATTCCACTGTTATACCATTTTAGAATATTTGGGTGATGGAATGCACAAAATATCCTAATGTAGTACACTGTAGAACAGAGCAGAAATAGGGATGGAAAGTGGAGAAACAAAGTGGCCTCAGTGAACCATCCAAACTTTGATTTGTTCTCTGTTTTCAAGGCCTTCTTTTTGACCAACAAACTTTTAACTGCATGAGCCTTTTTATGTTAGGACCCAGGCCTGAAGTGGTCAACACAATGCTCAGATAATGCAGTGGGATGGATTTTGAATTTAGTGGAGGCCAAAATACTAGAAAATGAAATAGTGAAGTTATAAATCTCATATTTAATGGTTTAACATATAGTGTCAGTGCGAATTTTCTTAATGCTCATATTTTTCTGTAAATTACATATTTTTTGCTAATGTAAAAACTGTGCAATTCACAAAATATTTGCATATTATATTATGTGTTAAACCATCAAGTATAATGTACATATTATGCTTTCTTTAATCCTAAAGACATTCTTGATTTCATTTCTTGATTTCAGTTCTTGGACAGTTTATGACAGAAAGAAACATTTCATTATGCTTCTATATGTCATGTCCCATCGCAGCACCATCAGCACAAAGATTTCATTGGCCTTGGCTTTTACATGCACACATAACTGATTAATGGATGAATGGTGGGAAAAAATTTGTGTTCAGATTATACACTACACAAAGAATAATGAAATTGGTCAAAGAGGCTTCTTAGACTATTGCTCAAGTTGTGTCATATTGAATGGGTGACTCCAAAACACTAATGAATATTTCTAATTATGGGGGCAAGTCAGTAAAACTGACTTAGCACGACTCATACAGTTTCAGATGAAATGAGTTTACCCAAATACATAATAAATATAAAGAAAAATAATTATTCAATAGTATATCAAGCATTTTTAAAAGTGGCTGCTTCAGATGTTCAGGGAACAAAATACTATATGTGATTAAAGTAAAAAAAGGACAATTAAGATGTTTGCAGTGCCATACAGTGGGGCTCTTGACCCTTTAATCCCCAACATTTAATTCTTAAGTCTCCCTTCTATCTGCTATTAATATTTCTTGTTGTAAATTAGTAAGGAGAATTTTGTGTTGCATCACTATAATGTCATTTAACTGATAAGTTTGTCTGTTTGCTGAATTCTGAATTAGTGTTGTAAGTAGTTTAAGGGTGGAAGGGGGATAAGATGCCTGTGTTGTCATCTGATAGTCAAAATCTTAGATGGCACTGTGTCAACAATTTGTCGCTGATGGTTTAAGTGTAGTCCAAGATTCAAACATCATTTACTTCACTTGCTTCTAAAACTCATGTTCTGAAATTATCAGTTGATATATTGTGTATGAATATGGAATTAAGTTGTTAGTAGTAACTGTGGCTACTGTTGGAGAGGAAGTGGCATTCTGTGTAAGAGATAAATGTTTCCAAAAAGAAAATAAGAGAGCAAGTAGATTTTAGCGGTTGTTATAATATCTTGATTACGACTTATTGAATTTATTGCATTGCACTGACTGAAGAACTGGTGAGTTTTCATTGCTTGCATTAAATATCCATTACGTTGAAAATGTTTGTGGAACTTGTAAAAGATGGCTTATTTATTTTGTAATATGTTAAAATGTTTTCTTAATATATTTTTTTATTTAGTCTATTTTTTAAGCAATTCTAGGCAAATATATTTTAAGAGTTTTGAAGAAGCATTGATGATACACATTGCTTGAAGTTAAGTCTAAGAAGGAGTTATGTCTAACAAGAAGAGAAATTGAAGGTACACACTGCATGCAAACCAACGAATACTTAAAATAGACTAAGTCACATCATTTTAGGCAAGTTCAAAGCTGACTGGTGTAGCACAGGTTGGCAAGGTTAGAGGATTTTTACCAGCATTTTTGAAATTTACTTCATCTGCTAGATGTGACATACTTTGGTTTTGTTAAAGGTTACATTTAATTTAGTTTGGAAATGTGCCAACCAGTGTCTGAATTCTATTCACCTTCAGAGAAAAATAATGAAAACAAATTAAACCTTCTAAAATACTGTGACCCAGCCCCTTTGGCAGGGAAACACCTATAAGAAAAGGTATGTCTCCTCTATTAACGTGGCTGGATACATTTTCCCAAAGCTCTGACAACAATAAAGTTTACAACACTCTTTTTTGAATTGCCTTGAGTAAATTGGTTGAAATTGATTCAACAGTGAGGCCTTACCCAGAAAAAGAAAATCCTAGCTTACAGAGGATTTTTCAAGACGATCCCCAAATGACAGTTGAATATCAATGTTGATTGTCATGCCAGGTCCACCTATTTCAAATGTCTATCATAAGGTCAATACATGCGAAAATTGTTTAACTGCAAAGAGGGAGAGTTGGTATTCGAGAACTCCAATTGTAGCCAGTCAGAGCTAAGGAAAACTGTATTCAGCTACCTTGAAGATTGCTATAGGCAGCACTGTAATAGGTCTGCAATATTTAATCCCAAATCTCCCTTCCCCTAGGCACTCACTTGACAGTTTGTTATTTTTACATTCACATGTGACTGATTCACAGTCAGCATGTGTTATTTCATTATTGTTTTATAAATTTCAAATCAGAGATATATTGTACATACAAATAATAATATATGAAAATAAAGCCGACAGTTTATAAATCTTTGTGTTAGTTTATACTGCATTTGTGTGAACTTGTTTGAAATTAACTTGACAAATAGATTCCATGTTGTGAAGGGTCTGTTTAGTTATGGATCACAGCAGATGATGTCAAAATGTGGTAAGAACAAAATAATGGCACATGAGGCATAGCCAGGTATCACTGAACAGACCAGTGGCCACATTGAATCTATTTGCTTTATATCAGAAAGAAAGTACAGTTTTTGTAACAGCGACTCCATCTATGCATCTGTCATCCAGTAGATCATAGATTTGAATCCACTGAAATGATTGTATAGTACAGCTTCTTATATCATAATTGTTTATGTGATGTAATCTGGATCAAAAGGTTTTGGAATGAACCTTGGCTGCCATTATTTAAAGAGGAGGGGGGGGGGAGTGTAGTCTCCCAGAAATCTATGCATTTTCATTTCTATCACCAAGCTACATTACCCACAGGTCTTCCAGCCTGCAGGCAGTGCATTTCTCTACCCAAAGGGAATATTTTCACATGGTCCACAAGTCATTGCTAGATTCTTTGTGGACTACTCCCAGGAAAATGCACCTGAAGGCCTCATACTTTCCCATGCCCAAAGTAATGCTTGTGCTGAAATACTACTAATGAGGGCCTGCTCGAAAGCTACAGCTGTCCAAGGGCAAACCAAAATCACCAACTTCTTGCCATATGTATAAAGTTATTGAAAATTATAATTGTCATTGTCAATTTATCATCATCACAAGTAATGTGTGGCGAACAGTTCAAATAGTGATTGGTTAATGAGTGAATTTAAATTTTGAGTTACAAACATGAATACCCTTCAATTGCATGAAGTAACAGCCCTGCTACCATTTAACTCTCTCTTGAGTATACAAAAGAAAGAGACAGACCACAGGTTCAGTTTAATTTGCATTTTAATTAGATGGCTGTTCTGAGAAAAAAATGATTGAGATTCCCTCTTTGAAACTCTTCATATTTAGTAATATCTAGTCAGGATTGGTGGGATCTGAGAGCAGGTGGCCTTAGTTAATTCACAAAACTATTACTGAATTTAGGTAATACTGAACAAAGAAGATATCATTTATTTCCTGACTGTGTAACTTAACATAATTGATGAAATTGATAATCAAAGAAATCAATATCACTCAATATCAATTGGGATATCAAAGGAGGAAATAATTAGTTATCATAACTTGTTTTAATGTAAATGGTTGTTTTGGTGTTGAGCTGACTCTTACTTTTACCCTCAAACTCCCAATATCTGATTGTTAATTCTCCCCTCAAGCTGCTCAACATTTCCTTGTAAATTAGTCAGAAGAATTTGGTGCTGATCAAAATAACAAATTGTAACTGATAAATTTGAGTCTTAGAGGACCACAATAAGAACTATTGGTTCTACCAGTAATTGTGTTATCCAATAAAGTCATTATTATCATTATTATTATTAATATTATTACTTATTTGCTGGATGATGTATGGACATTATTGGGAGAAGTTACATGTTAACTGGAAGTTAAATGGTTAACAATGAAAACTGCTTTTGAAAGCAATCAGTATCATAAAGCTGCATGTGTCCCAAAATACAATTTAATTTATGTCAAGTGCGATTATAAAGAGTGGATGTTTGGGTAACACAGTGACAAAATTATTAAGGTGACTAAAAACAGTTTTTACACACAATACATTTTAGAAAAAAATTCCATGATAAAGATGGCCACATAATAATACAAATCATTACATCCTGTTGCATTCTTTATCATGCTTATTAATAATTTATCCTCATCTCTTTACATAAGAATGCTACAACTTATTTATTCAGCAAGTTGTAATTAATTTAGCAACCCCGATAAGAAGGACTCTAACATCTCTGTTTGAAGTTTGAACAGCAGTCTCTGATTTGTGGTTACACTTTACTGGTCTGTCAATTAATATGAATTATTTGTCACTAATTTAATTTGTTTTTTCTCATGTGCTCATAACAACTTGTGATCAGAAGTTTTACTTCTACTTTGACAGATAGTGAAGCTTGTGAAGACTGTGTCACCACCGAGGTGTGGGTGAATTGTGCAATGGATGCAGTCTGCTTAGTTTGACTTCAACACACGCTTGGTTCCCTTGTAGCTGGTGGTGTGACTTTGGGGGGATTTGTATGAAGGCGAGTCACTGGAAACAAACATCAACAGAAAATTCAAAACAACTGATTAAATACATACACAAATAATGGATTGAGGCAGTGAGATAGATAGAAAGTAACTTAAGGTTGTTTTGTCATGTATGGTCATTAGAACATTTTTCAGTAAATGTGAATAACTCAAGAAACAAAAAATTGCCACACAAAAAGAACAGTTCTCTGCTACTAGGTAAATTATTCTTGGTTTTGAACAATTGCACTGTACACTAAACATATTGTACATTACAAAAATCAACCATCAACATTGGATCTGAAAACTCTTTCTCAAGAGAAATGCAAGTGGTACTTCCAGGTAACAGTCATCATTTTACCTAAACACATTTTCACAGTTAGTGCCTGAGTGGTAGGTCATCATATACACTTACAATAGCCAAGGCCCTGAAGAAACAAGATCAGTGACGTAGCAACTTTATGTGGCTGTTCCTCCAGAGGCATACCACCACTGTCAGACACTTTAAAGTAGTTGGAATTTGAGGGATCCAACCTTGAATTGGTGTCAATGACATCGTCTTGGTGGGGAGAGTTAGCTCCTGTTATCAGTAGACATGCACACTTCAATGACTGCACTTTTTTGCCGCTAGTGGGGTTGGGCCGCTGAATCTGAAGATCTGTGCGATGGAGGTAGGAGTTGATGAATAGAGAGAGATTGCGAGGAGACAGGACTGAATGGAGACTCTGTTTAAAGGCATGTACAAGATCCATATTTTCATCCTTTGTCTTTTTACCAAAGTGGTGCCAAAGAAGGTAGTCTTCCACAAAAGTTGTCAGACCCTTTTTCTGTAACTGTTTGACACACAACTACAAAAAAAAAATTGGCATCAAGTTTAATGTCAAATCACATAAGTTTTGTTTCCTAACTTAAAATTTTGATTCATTTTTAATACTGAATATGTTATCAATTATTATTAGATTGTACATTTTTATTATTATGGTTTTTTAAATCCATTTTAATTATAACTTGTATATTATACACGTAACTCAGTCTTCGGACTGCAAGGTGTTTCTTTTTAATAAACAATTTATCTCTCAATATACCATAACACCACAACCTGTAGTAATTGATAAAACATCAAAACTTCTAATTGCACACCGAACAGAATGTCAAATTTTCATCTCTTCTCAAGTCAAGTCACCAATCCCACTAGAGAATTGGGAATGAACAGTAAGTTCACTATCCTGAAAAATGGTTAGGAATTGGGTATGGGATATCCTTTCGTTCAATTTTATAAAGTTCCCCCTAGCTATTACAACTACTTTAAATTAGGTAGTGCTCAGAGCATGAGGAACCAAACTGTCTGTTTGAAAAACATACATGCATGTATGTACCTCACTCCTACAAACTTTGGATGCATCCCATTACAGATATCCATCCTCATCAATCTCACAATTTCCACGTATTTTATGAAGCCCTCTAATACGTCTCACCGGTATGCTAACAAAAATGATTTTTAAAAAAATCTTGTTCGCACACACCTCCGCTCCACTTCACCAGAAAACAACACCAAAGCACAAATCATTTTTGAACGTGTAAAAATAAGTAACGAATATATTTTGTTTTAGTATAAAACGCGCAATTTAATGAATAATTAAAACCCTGTTCCAAGTTAACAGAAGCATAGTTTAAATGCCCCCCTTGCACACTTGCAAAATAAGCTACTTTTAAAATTTCATTTATAAAATAGCATACCTTTTGATATCCCCAATCGATCCAGCCGCCATTAGAGGCCACAAGCTCTACCAGTACCAGTGCTTCAACTTTCGTATGGTTCCACAGCGCATATCGACTGAGGATATTGGCTCCTGCACCCACTCCGAAGCCAATAAAGCGTTTGATGCCGAAATGACTCACAATTTCTCCTACCATGTCCGATAACTCGTCCATCGTTGGGTAGGAATATTCCTCTGGCAGTTCCTCGCTATCCTCCTCCTGGCCTGGCGCATCGATGTGGTAGATGCAGAAATTATCGAGAAGTGGACGAGTCTCGTTGAAGTTGAAGAAACCCAAAAAAGCTGATGTATGATTTTGTCCAATATCGTGAAAAGTGACAATCGCAGTCTTTCCCTCTTTACCTTGTCGAGTTACACGCACTTTCCCTCTGGAACAAGGCACATCGTGTTCGGATAGAAGCGAAATAAACGCTCCATGATCATCGAACACTTTGGCTTCAGATTCGTGGATATCTATGGAAGTGAGACTTACAAGTGGTTGTGAATCCATCATGCTCGTCCTTGTTCGTGTTTTGGCCAAGTCGTGATTGCAAAGATGCATGGGATTGTTCCAATATCGATGATATTTTCAATGTAAATTATATGAAGTAATAAACGGAAACTTTTGCGAGGTGCAAATGAAATGCACTTCGATGATCAAAAGTTCTTCATCCTTTTCTTTGAATCATAACTTTCGTATTGTAGATATCATGTACAACTATATTTAAGGATGGAATCTGAAGAAGCCTCTAACGATAGAGGTGATTATATGAGCTCTGAGGGTACAGTTGAAGATACTCATGCAGAGAATTCGGAGACTGAAGTTGATAAACAATCTCGTAGTCAAGCTGATGAAAACAGTGACCTCTTACCAGATGAGAAGTTACCCCAGGAACCGCTTAATGACCAGGAACGGCATTTACTTTACGAAAAAGGAATCAAGTAAGCTCTAAAAATACTTTGAAATTCAGGCTGTGGACGAACGTATGAGTTCATAAAATGTGTTTCTTTTTCTCAGTTATTCAGTTGTGATGAGTTTCAAAGTTTTTGCAAACTTCAAAGCTAAAAACACAGTCTGATCTGTAATCATATGAGAATGACCCACGTAAAATTTATGATATCATATTTGTTTGTCTTTCTCTTCATCTTTCTTGTGTTTTTCTCTCAACCTGCGCTTCTTTTCACATCCTTGTAATAGTCAGTCAGGCAGTCAGTCAATTAAATTAGGCAGGCTGTCAGTCGGGTACCTTGTTTTGCTCTCTTTCTAATGCAGCACCACAGTTTTTTTTTTAATTTATCCACTTTAATCAGTCAGTCTGTCTGACAGTCAGTCATTCAGTCAGTCAGACAGCCTGTCAATCATTCAGTCAGTTAGTTAGTCAGTTTGTCAACCAGAGTCAGTCAGTGGTCAGTGATTAGTTGTATTATCAATTGCTTAACAGTGCTGCAGCACTATACTGAAATAATTTCTACAGAGAGGTGAAATTGATTGGTTGTCATAGTGTATGTATCCAAGTTATCAATACCTAGCAAACAACTATAACAAATTTCAAACTGTTTTCATTTCACTAATTAAATTTTTATTTAATTTTTTTCAGATTCAAGGTGGGTAGATGACATTTTTCATTTGTGGTGAGACAATTTATTTCTCTTTGAAATTTTGATTAGAATTGGTTTTTCTGACATAATTAAATTATTAATGATATTTCCATCCCATAAACAGAAGAAGGGTAATTTGAGACATGCTCTGTACTGTCTGTTGGCCTGTGTGCGAGGGTTGAAAGATGGATCTCACTTTCAACAACTTCCTGAATGCCTTCACAATGTGAGTGTGTGTGATCCTATTCCATACCAAATTTCTAGATAAATTTAGAAAGTTCCATTACTGACAAATATAAAAACTAGAAGTCAAAGATGCATTTGAAACTCATGGTTGCACAAAGGAAAAGCTTTCATAAGTACTGTAACCTTCATTTGCATGTTATGGTAAATGTTTCATTGAATAATTATGGACTGGCTATTTTTTTCAGAATGAAATCTGATTGTTGTCTCCCATTTGATACCTTTTTCTGTAAATATATTGTCCTTCTTGAAGTGTTTTTTGTTAGCTTTTTGTTTCTTTTTTACTGTTTTCTCCTATTTACATTCTCCTTTACTTTTTGTGACTAATTACTTCTCAATGTAAGAGACAATATCTGTTGCTATGTAGTACACATGTATTTCTTCAGTGATTTGTAAAGCTCATGATTGTAAAATTAGATGTTTCATATCCTTTGCTTCATTGATGACCAATCCAACAAACAGTTAACAAGATAGAGCATTGAGTGTGGAAAGTATTCTAAGATTGCATTGATTTTGCTTAACTTTGCTCTGTGATTGGTGAAAAAAACTTGCCCCACTCTCTCAGCCAATCAGATGGAAAACTAAAACCAAGGATGACTTGGTTGCCTGCATTTTCCAGTACTTTAGGCAGTTTGGTTGTTTCACCTTGAATTCTAAAAGACTCTTAACTCCTTAACTCCCAGAAGTGATTCACATGTAACTTCTCCCTACAATATTCATCCATTATCCATCAAACAAGTAATGAGAATATTCAAATGTATCAGGTAAAAGTTGTTATCTTGATCTAATACCAAATTCTTGCAACTAATTTACAAGGAAACGTTGAGCTGCTAGAGGGAAGAATTAACAACCAGATCTTGGGAGTTAAAGGGTTAATAGTTTTTCTCTATTCTTCTGATTGGTTTTTGGGATTACGTTGGTTTTGATTTAAGACTTAAGATTTAAGAGTGATAAGCGCTCTAACATTAACAGCACTGGTTGTCTACAAATGCTCAGAGTTGTTTTATGAAACATTGTTTTGAATATCCCAAATATATATCATAATCTGAATTATTTTATATTTTGGCAGATAGCAGATATCTACAGCCAGCTTGGAGACTGTATCTTTTAATTATCACACCCTGATTGTTTGAAAGGTGGGTAGCACTGTCCATTGGATAAATCTTTCTCCAGTGGATATTTCAAATCATTTCATCACAAGTAACCATTTATCTGCTGGATGATGATTTATCTGTTGGATTGAGTTATCCACCTATGAACAACTGCATCTAGAAATGAAACAGTGTAGCAAATGAGCATAATGATGTTAAGGTGTGAAGGTTAAAAGAGGAAAACATAGACATGGCTTTTTGTATCTTCAAACCTTCAATCATTTTGGTTTCATTTACTTATTAAGAAAAATTGCAAAGTTGTGAATGTTGCCAGGGGTGATAATTTTGGTTATCATGCAGAATGCACTTCTACCTCATCTGGATATCCTTGTTGCAGTAACTTGGACTGCAGAGACAGAGAACTTAAACCCTAAAACTCCTTCACCCATTTTTCATGTCGTCATGAAGAATTTACACATTTTATGTAACTATGTGAACCCTTAATTTTATGAAGATGAAAATGCTGTTTCATTTGCCCAGGCAGAAAAACTTTATTATGAAACATCTCTGATAAGTGCTGGTAGCATGGTACAGCAAGAACAGGATGGATCAGGTGAGTGGGGAGCATCAGATACTGATGATCCTAGTGGATCTAAGGCTGCTTACGAGACTGACTCCCATAGTTGTAGGAAGTACAGTAGAACCTGCTAATTTGAACTTAGTTAAGTCCAACTCCCTGTTAACTCGGGAAAAAGGTGATTTCCCCTGAATTTTATCCCATTTTTCTGTCATTTATTATCTACCAGTAAACTTGAACTCAGTGAAGTCTAACTTCCCATTAACTTGAACCAATTTACTTTCCCTTGGCTCAAATTTACCCTCAGGCTGATTACTTGAACTTTAAATAAAAAAGTTAGTCAATAAATGTCAATATGTCAGAACATAGCAGTTTGACAAGTTCCAGTCTTTATATCATGATTGATATAAACATAACTACATGTATGAAAATGTAGAAATTCAATACAAATCCCAATAACTGGATCCCTCACTAACCTAAACCATTTTCTTTTCCTTGGGGGTTTGAGTTAGTGGAGTTGTAGTGAAGCCATGTTTGCTGTACATAAAGCAATTAGGTGTTATGCAACTCTGTTTGTATGAGATGCTACAGCATTGAACCTCAGTATTTCTGTCAGGTTTTCCAGACTGTTTGCTGCCACCTACTTATACTTTTGTAGGGAGAGGGCACCAAGAGATTAAAGTAGATGTAGATGGCAGCCAGAAGTTAAAGGTTCTCATTCTTGGTGCTCACTGCATCTTTTTTATTGGGAGAGTTTGGTTCAAAATATTAAAGTGATGACCTTTACATCCAGTACGTTGGTGTGAAAGCACTCCAGAGTTAGTTTTATTTTTCTTCCGGTCACTGTCCACATCTTAGAAACAACTCATACCACAGTATGAACTCAGTTCAATGTATTAATAGCCATGTTTATGATATAACAGATAGTGTTAGCAGTACATCACCATCTGACCAGACCACAGGAAACACAACAAGGACCACAGAAGCTCAGGTTGGCATCCATTTTTGTTTTTGTAATGTGTTCTTCTTACTTACCATAACTGTGGATACCTAGAAAGCAAACTATAGACAGAAATCATATTTTCAACATTCATAGGAGAATTGATCTATATGTTCTTCCAGATACTTGTAGTGTTCTTTTTATGAGAAACTTCAGTGATCTGTACAAACTGGCATAATTTGGCAGATGTCAGCTTTTGTCTGTTTACTTTCTACCTTTAGTCTGCAACCCTTTAACCCCCAAGAGTGATAAGCATCCAATTTCTCCCTTCAGTATCAACCTGATTGAAGCATTCAGGTCTTGAGATTAAAGGAAATGATCACAAACTCAAGAAGTGTATGATTGTTTGACAAGAGAGAACATTATGGAGAACTTGATTACTGATGTTAGTGTGTAAAAATTTTAGGTATTTCTCTTGGTTGATAACCTGTGTAACTGACTTTAGAAAATATAGTGAATCTTAATAAACTGAAAACCTTAACTTTGTTTGATCTTAGCATGCTGTTAAAGATGATCCAAAGGAACAAACAGCTGAAGCTCGATCAGCTAATGAATATGAGAAGCTTGCACACATGTGCCTCAAGCAAAAAGAGTAAGTCTCTTCAGAAGTCTTGAATGGTAATTTTATAAATAGTTATATTATTTAGCAAAACAAGTCTTGAAATAAGCACAGGGTAGTCTTATTGTGAGCCAAAGCCTTAGATTTAGCACCCAGTATCACAAGTAGTAAGCCCAACCTTAAACTTTGCTTTAGCTTAGCCTGTTTAGAAGCGATGCACATGACACTATTCTTGAAAATCCATCCCCTAGTATCTGTGCTATACAAAAGTTTTCTCCAGTTTATGATATACAAGTAACTGAACTCTGACTGTGAATATATGAAAATCATATATGTGAACTGCTGATAAAGACGTGAATACTACAGTGACAAGCATACTTCTTGC